TTCCCTATGTTCATTGGAATGAGACATTTGCCTTCCTGCTCTCTTTCTGTCTCCAGAGACACTCATACCATCGCTCCCACTATGACCTGTCACCCAGCTCTGTGAGGCAGGTAGTCAACATTCCACGATTTCCCAATGCCAGGAGTAACCGTGGAGTCCTACCGGATCCCCAGCAAGCTTCAGGAACAATAGTACAAATCGTCATCAACAACAAGCATAAGCACGGACGAGGTAAAGACAAGTACTTCTTATAGTATTACTCTGGGTCAGGAATCAATCACCTATTGCTCAAAAGGACTTCTCAAAATATATAGCAGAGTCTTGGAAATTCACACTGGCATCAAGAGACCCAATGCAAATCAGGGAGGCAAAAAGCAATACGCTATTAGGGATACGAAATTAGTTCTTGACTGAGATCAGTTGTCCCTACACATACAACTGTGCACTTCACTCTGCAAAGACACTACACTACCACATTGCTCTCTGAATTACTTTGTGGGATTGTGCTACATAATTCCGGGAACACTTCAGCAGTTACCAGGAAAGTGAGCACTTTGTGCCATAAAGGACATTATGATGCCTTTAGATTCGCTAACTTGTTCACACAATGACTTGTCCAGTAGGAAATTGCTCACAGTTATTTTCTTTACACTGTCCTGTTTTGTAAATTTACTACCTGTAAACAGCATATGTTTAAACTGCCCAACAACTCTCAGACCATAAAGCTTTGCCATAGTGTCAAGAGGTTTTCTGCCTCCAAGGCTTAGCAAATTATTCTCAAGAAAGACAATGTCATGACTTCCGCCACATTAAGCTAGTTGTCTGAGACAGTGGGATGCAAGTGGTACTTTTCCTCCTCTGTGACTAATACTAGAGGCAGAGTAGGCAATTAGCCTGCACTGATGCCAGAGCTGTAAAAAGGCAAAGTTAACCAAAGTAATGAATCTCACTCTTATGATTCCTTTAGTGCCTTGCGATAACATACTATAGGTCATATTACATTATGGGGACAGCAGAACTTTGAGCCAAAGCAAGGCAAACCTTACCCAAACATGACTAAAT